AATGAATTTGCAAGTGATTATTTTGTAGTTCAATAGGGTGCAAGATGTGACTTAGACGAAGGCAACGTGATGATCCGATGATCAATACCAAAAGCAAGACCTTAGAAGCACAAGGGAAGACCTGAGATATCAAGCAAAGTCCAAGCATGAAGATAGGAACCAAGCCGTACGTAAGATCGCGAAGAAATGAGCTCACAGAAGTGACCGGACGCTGGTAGCACAGTGACCGGACGCCCCGATCAAGAGGCTCGGCAGCAGCAGTGACCGAACGCTGGCGGCAGATCGACCGGACGCAGACAGTAGAGTCCGGTCGAGTACAGAGACGTTCTAGAGCGGCGAAAATGCGATCGGACGTGTCTGGTGGCATGTGACCGGACGTTGACAGCATCTGATCAGTGGATCACGGCTCCAACGGTCGGGACGACCGGACGAGTCCGGTCAGGACGTGATCAGCGTCCGGTCAGTAGCAGAAAAGTGGGATTTCATCCCCAACGGCTACTTTCTCAGCGGGGCTTATAAATATAACCCCCAACCAGCCAAATGATGTGCATGGAGCAAAAGAAACATACCAAGGGTGTTGATACACCATTTTAGTGATCTCCACTTGCATAGTGCTTAGTGATTCATTAGGTGATTAGCGTAGGTGCTTTGCGAAGTGCTTAGGTTGATTAGACCACCGCTTATGCGCTTGCTCTAGGTTTAGGCCTAGTGTTTAGTGAGGTTTGCATACCTCTTACCACTCGGTGCTTACGCTTACCATTGTTGTACATCGGAGGGGCTTGTAGTCTTGCGAGATCACACAACCGCGTTTGTGGTGTGGCCGCCACCGTGTACCGGAGGGAACAAGGCCCGCGGCGTTTCGGCCGGAAGCTTGATAGTGAAGACGGCAGGGAGCGTCCGGGAGAGGCTTGACGGAAGGCACGTCGGAGACCCACTTACGCGTGGGGAAGGCCCGAGGCTATCCATGGAGTTACCCGATCGGGAGCTTAGCCCTTGTGAGAGATTCCTTGCGAGAGGCTCCAACGAGGACTAGGGGAAAGCATGCGCGCTTCTAGATAACTCGGTAAAAATACCGGAGTCGTCAACGGGAGTTTGCATATTTCTACCTTGCTCTTTAAGCTTCTGCATTTATATTGATTACATTACTCCTTTTGCGGTAGAGATAGAAACACACTAGCAAAACTGTAATTGTACATTTAGATAGTTTATCCTTTGCATAGGTTTTGCTAGGATTAGAAAAGGAGGCCATAGTTTAGAGTTAGAATTTTAAGTTACCTAATTCACTCCCTCTCTTAGGCGTCACGGTCCCCTTCACAGCGGGCGGCCGGCAGGCGTGGGCAGCAGGTGGGCGGCCGGCGTGCGGGCGCGGCGAGTGCGGCAAGCGGTGTGCGGGCACGGCCGGCGTGCGTGTGGGCGGGCGGGCAGCGTGCGTGCGGGCGGCTCTGCTTCAAAAGGGAAGCGAGGCCGGGCTGCATGCCTGTAAAAGGGTCTGTCGCGCCTCGATGCGTGGCGCGGTAGTGCCAACGCGCCGTGACCGGTGGCACGGCAGAGCTGGGCCACGTCACCGGTCAGCGGCCCTAGTCGCTGCCACGTTGGCACCCCTGCCGCGCCGCCATGCATGGTGCGGCAGAGTTGTTTCGCCGCGCCGTGCAAGCAGGCATGTCCAAAAGTGTTAGATTTGAAAAAAAAATAAACAGTATCAGTTTTAAAAATAGTTTAAAAAAGTGTTAAAATAGAAAAAATTCCCCCTAACGACACCGGCGTGAGCATTTCGACTCAGCCCAGAAAGGCCCGTGATACTCTTCTGGCCCACCATCTCAACGGTAGTTTAATTGCTGACTGGTGTCCTCTCTCTCAAAAAAAGTAATACTCCCGTGAGGACGTCCAGATTGACCGGACACGGCTTCCCACTGAACCGCGCGGGTCAAAGTCCGTACACGCGCGTGCCTCCCCAACGGCACCCTCTGGCCCATGTTAAAGAATGGCGCGAAAACCGCGCTACACGCGCAAGCGCGCCCCTGCCACACAGTCGCGCGGCCCCACACTGACCTACCACCAGTCGGCCCCACGCGCGCCTGTGCGTACAACTGTTTTGCTCGCCCCTGCATAGTGCGTGCTCGCCCCGTGCGGGGTCCACGCGTAGGCCCACGTTGCGCCAGCCGCAGGTGCTCGACCCTACCCTCTTGCTCGCTAGGGGTGCTCATGGCCTCCTGCATGTGCTCCCCAGGGCGCCGAGTAGGTGCTCGCCTAGGGGTGTTGTGGCCTCGCACCCATGCCGCCGAGCAGGTGCTCACCACTCTGCTAGCGCGCCGGCGAGCTCTGTGACAATGAGCCTTCATTCATCCAAGCACTAAGGTGACATTGCGTTGAAAGCACATATTGCAAGCGTATATTTTAAAGTGTTTTAGATGTTTCATCTGGATGTTGCAAAAGTAGATCAGGATGTTGCACATGCTGCAATGGCTATACACATATGTTGCAAGTGTATGTTCCAAATGTTTTAGTTTTTTCAGAAACATGTTGTAAGTGCGTGTTCCAAATATTTCACTTGTTTCATCTGGATGTTGCATGTGTTTCATCTGGATGTTGCATATGTTATAGTGACTATGCACGTATGTTGCAAGTGTGTGTTTCAAATGTTTCACCTGTTTCAACGTATGTTGCAGTGGCTATACATATAAGTTGCAAGTGTATGTTTGTAATGTTCCACCTTGTTTCCGACATATGCTACAGCTAGTGCTACTCCCCACGCGCTCTAACTCGTTGGCATGTACGCGCTGCACGTACCCAGCCAGCACTACCTATCTCTGTCATGCTGGCTAGCTCCAATAGTTGCACGTGCACATAACGGACAGTCAGTGCCCAAAGGGCCTACCACTGACAGGGCGGGTGCAAGTGTCTTCTCTTTTCTTATTCCTTTTTTCTATTTTTAGAGAAACTGGACTGTTCCTGCTAATTCTTGCATTATCACGTGTGTTAAACTTACAAACTTACTCCCTCTGTATCTAAACAATATGCGATGTTTAGGAGAAACTTTAGCTTGGAAATAAGCTAGTTAGTTTGATGCTGTGGACTATCATGTTGGTGCTCTAATCAGTGATCAGTCACGAACGAGTTCATCTGGCGGTTGCGGTGCTCTGCTGGAGCCAAATCGCGTGAAGGAGCTACAGTCTAGGTCGCTTTCGCCTTTAATTTGGGTACTAAGAATTCCCCTACTCTGGTCACTTGTTTTCTTTTTCTTTTTGAAAAAAATCAGCTGGAGCACTGCTATGTTAAGTATCATGTTTTCTCATACAGGGTCCGCCGTAAGCAAAAATCTATCCTAAATTGTTTTCAACTACAACAGTTCCTCTAAATTGCAACCCTCTATTTTGTAAACAACTAATATACATAGTCCCACGTTTTTGTATTGATCTAGTGTTTGTTTCTTTTCTCTTGAAGACGTCAATCACCCTTTCTATGTCAACCTCCTCATAGCGTTTTCCATTGGAACCTCTAGTGCGTAGCATCTCCGATAGTTTTCCAAAAGTAACTGATAAATCGATAAAATTTCTAAGTGGCTAAAAAGAGTTAGAAACACATTTGTTAGGTTCCTCCAACCATTTTTAAAAGCTCGTTCCTAAAAAATAAAATATAATTATTGCATCAGGAGCTCTGAAATATTTCTAAATCACCTAACTACTTTTTTTTTGTCTTTTGTATATTTGCAGTGGTAACCCTGGAGAGCGTTTTTTTTTTCAATCTTCCTAAAAAATCAAGATAGAGAGTAGGTTTTGGAAACTCTTAGAGATGCTTTTTAAGTCCTACAAACCTAAGCTGCGCCTAACTGATTGACATGAGTATATATATCATAATAGGTGCACCTTTGGTTATAATTTAATCCCTCCAGTAAGGAAAGTAGCAAATATGTCCAAACAAAAAGTACATCTTATTGCATAGATAGTCACCTAAACAACTTGTGGCTCAAAAAATTATGTAATGGCTATATCATCTGTTTCCAATATATATATGTAAGTTACTTCTATTAAAAAAATATTAATGCATCTCTTCACTTCCATGACGCCTCGCAGCCTCCCTCTGCCATGATCTTTTCACCTGCCCTTCTGTCATTATTGATAGTTACTTCTCTTGCGGCCCCTATCTTCTATTTAGAGGGCTCTGGTCTCTTTGTTTTTTTATCCCATCGCAAGCGTAATCAGTACCATCCATATCACCGTAGCGGGAGCTTCGTGCGTCGTAGTCAATACCAACACCATCGCAGATTGAAGGCACCCGGCGGCAAGCTGCAGGATCGCTCCGGTGTCTACCCCCGTTGGCCCTACGCGGCTCTGTCTCCTCCGGCAACGGCAACTCGAGTCCAGCTTCGTCGGCCCCATGCGGCTCCATCTCCTTCGGCAGCGGCGAGCTGCGAGATCGATGGAGTCCACCAGCTATACCCACGCAACTCCGTCTCCTGGTGGCAGCGAGCTGCAGCAGCGTATGCGGCGACCCCTGATGCACAGGTGCTGCCGCTACATCTCTACCACCTAGACAGCGTCTGAGACACCGGCGGCAGGACAGACTGTGTGGGACGAGAGGCGGCGAGGAGAGAAAAGCAGGCACTAAAAAAGGAACGTATAAGCTCATGGTTGTTTACTCTTCAATATGCTGTTCTTTATTTTTGTATAATAATTTGCTCTTTAGGTATAGATCATAGTTATTATTCCCATCATCTTGACATGTGCTACTGTTTTCTATATTTTTTCATGATCGTTAGAACACCCGTCCCTATGAAATTTATATGTTTTCTAATCTTTTGTTTTTTTACCTGTATTTCTATTATATATTTCTATATTTTTTATGTTTCTGTGTTTTTTTACATTCACACGTTCCAAAGGGCCGGTAACTATAAATTCTTCATGCTTCATATAAAGTTCCTTATATAAGATCTCCATTCCCGCAGCAACGCGAGGGGTATTCACCTAGTTATTATTAATATAAGGGGTAAAAAAAGGAGTACGCTACTCCAGCTTGAAGTAATCGAGTCTAGGGCGATTCTGCTCGCTGCCTTTCCTGTAAAAGTGCACGATGAACTCTTCAACCGTGACGCTCCTGTAGATCGGGGGGTTGCCACCGTCCGGCGACGTGAGCTCTTGGATGGGGCCATACTGCCTCATGGATCTTCCCACGTCAACGAAAGCCGCCACGGAGACCCTTGCCGTGTCAGCGCTCTGGTTCGCCAGAACTCGGTGCTCCACGCTCCTGAACCGCCCATTGCTGACAAGCTGCACCAGGATAATTAAGTGAAGTGGTCCAGGTGGATACATACATAAACAAACTATAGACGTCATCAATAATAAGTGAAGTGGATGCCTGGAGAAGGTCGCCGATGTTGATGATGAGAGCGCCGGGCACCGGAGGGACGTTCACCCAGCCCCTGCCGCCGCCGCCGTGGTCAAGAAGCACCTGCAGGCCGCCCACGGCGTCCTGCAGGAGGACGGTGAGGAAAGTCGGGTCCGTGTGCTTGGTGTTGCCGAGGGTGAGGTGCGGCTCCGGGCACGGCGGGTAGTAGTTACACGCCACCTTGAGGCTCTCCCCGCAGCCCATCTCGGCGAGGTGGTCGCTGGCCAGCCCCAGCGACTCCGACAGCAGCTCGAACACCCACACCGCAAGCTTCCTCACCGCACCAACGTACTCGAACATCACGCCCCTGTTCAATTTTATTTGTTTGTTTTTGTTTTTGATAGAATTTGTTTGTTTTTGTTTGAAATTCATGTACACGTTTGTGTGAAATATACTCGAAGTTAGTTAGTGCTCTTTCGAAAAAAGAAGTTAGTTAGCTTGCTCTGTAAGTACGTGCCTGAGGGCTTCCGGCAGCTCCTCCGGCTGCGGCGGCTCCGGCGCCATGTCGAGGAAGACGGTGTCACGCCAGCTGGCCGCCGGCGACTGGAAGAGGTCGAGGTTGGAGTAGAACCGCATCTTGCGGGTGGTGTCCCTCGTGTAATACGGCCTCTTGGCCTCCACGGTGCCCTCGTTGAAGTGCCTCACGGCCGCGACCATGGCGGCCATGGCCTCGCCCGGCACGCCGTGGTTGACCACCTGGAAGAACCCGGCCGTCTCGGCTGCCGCCCTCACCAGGGCGACCACCTCCTCCCGCCGGGCAGCCGCGAGGTCGATCACCGGAATCGTTGCCGCCGCTTCATCTGCAGTGGTGGAGGATGTGATCGCCGCTAGGGAATCCTGTGGGTGGTGGAAGATGGACGGGATTGATTTGGTGCCGGAGTCGACGAGGCCCTTGACGCCGGCCTTGGTGTCATCGAATGCCTGTAGTAGCTCTCGCCGGCGGTCGTAACCACCGTGCGCGGCCACGGGAACGGCGGCTTTGGTGATGGACATGGTATATATGAGTATGAGGTATGTGGCGCCTTCCGAGTGAGGAGTGAGTGACCGAGTCTGGGACAGGGCAGGTGAGAGGTAAGAAGACAGCGTATAAGAACATATATATAGATGCAGTGATGCACCATCAGTTACTATGGTCTGCGAGTCTACTAGCTGCTGGGCGGCAATGATGATTCGCTGCTAGGGATTAGTAGTCGTTGCATGGTAGAAAGTGTTTTTTCCCCCTTTAGTCAAGCCGAGAGAGCGAGAGAGCGCGCCCCGCGATAAAGAAGTACTCAATCAATCCCAAATCGTAAGACGTTTGATTTTTTTGACATCAAGTTTGACCACTCGTCTTATTCAAAAATTTGTGTAAAATATCACTTCTTTCGTCGTGGTTTGGTTTATTAATAAAAATTCTTCAAAAATGACTTAAATTTAACTATATTTGTATAAATTTTTTAAATAAAACGAGTGGTCAAACTTGGGACAAAAAAAAATTAAACGTTTTATAATTTGAGATATAGGGAGTAGCTCTAAACGACGTCCCTTGACAGTGACTTTTGTGGATTTGTCCATAATAAATGAGTCTAGCTATTTCTTTCTTGTCATTTCGTGGAAAATTGGGAGACTATCCTCTGTCCGATTGCAGCCACTCCCTCAATTTTTAGATACAATACGAAAAGAAATCATCTTCACACTTTAACTTTTTTTTTTAAAAACGTAATATTAATTTATTATATCAAATAGAATCGTTAGATTAATTAAAGAATATAATTTATAGTATATATATTTGAAATCATAATTATTGATATTATTTTCTTTCTATAAATCTGTCGGTGTTTCAAGTAAATATTAACGAGTAAATTTATATTTATTGCGCGTTGGGTCTGGATGGTGTGCTAAAAGGCACAAGGTTTATACTGGTTATGGCAGAATGTCCCTACGTCCAGTTTACGGCTGCTGCTCGTGTTATTAGCACTGAAATATTCGTAGTAGGGGTACAAACGGACGAGAGATGGACATGTCCCAAATCTCTGATGGAAAGGTTGAAAGGACGCTGAGAGCTTGGTTGCTGCTCAGCTATATGTTATGTGATGCGTGGTGTGTTGAATCGATCGGTCCCCTTAGTGGGGTGCCCTGCCCTCCCTTTTATAGATCAAGGGGAGCATGGATTACAGATGGGAGAAAGAAGAAAATCAAAGGCAAAGAAGGTCCTTCGAAGGTGCTGGGTCTTTCTTTTCCTTTCAGCCTGCCCTGCTGACATGATAGACGGTGCCAGGGATAACATGTTCGGTGATACTGATAGGACCGTGCTCTGGCTTCGTTCAGCAAGTGGTCGCGTCCTATCCCGCCCCGACGGGCGACGCGACGCACCAGGGTGCCGAGTCGCGACCCTACAGGGAGCAGACGGCGTAGAGGCCCCATGTTCGTTACTGTAGATGACATGAGTTTTCTCCTGGACCGTAGTGGTTGTCGTATGTTTCCGTCAGGATTCGTGTCCGAGAGCAAATGCCGGCGCCCATAACACTGTAGGACAAATGTTGGCGCCCACAACACTGTTTGGGCTCTGACATGCCTGGAAGGGCTTAAAGCGCCCGTCTGGTACTTTGCTGCAGGCATGCAGGGTATGGTCCTCGGTATTGCAGTTGACTTGAGTGCCCCGCCTTATCTGCACGCGTAGTTATGAAGGAGTAGCGCATAGACGTCGGGCGAGGCGGAGCCAGCCCTCAGTCGTCGGGCGAGGCGGAGTCTGCCCCCGAACATTGGGCGAGGTGGAGTTCAGCCCTCGGGGCTCGGGCGAGGCGGAGCCAGCCCTCAGGGGTCGAACGAGGCGGAGCCAACCTTCGGTCGTTGGGCAACAAGTGTAGTTGTGTTCTTGTCTGTTCGGAAGCATCAATGTTTGATGGTTATTAGCTCCTCCTCTTTGGGTACCCCAGTATTCGGTCCCCGACAGTAGCCCCCGAGCCCCCGGGTGATTCGGTTAGAATCGCCCGGGGGTGATTTGACTTGCGCACACCCGACGGGTGTAGCCCCCAAGCCCCCAGGTGATTTGGATAGAATTGCCCGGGGAGTATTTTGATTCGCCAGAGGGTGCGCGCGAGCGCACCCGACATGTGTAGCCCTCGAGCCCCCGGGTGATTCGGATAGAATCGCCTGGGGGGTATTTTGGTTTGCCAGAGGGTGCGCGCGAGCACACCCGTCGGGTGTAGCCCCCAAGCCCCCAGGTGATTCGGATAGAATCGTCCGGGGGGTAATTCGGACCCTTCACGGGTATGGCTGTGAGATTTGGTGTTTTGATAACTAGATAATTCGATTGGAGTCCCGATATCCCGTTCGCGGGATCTGGCAAGAGTTAGCCTGGCTGAGAATAAATCGTGGGTCGCGATACTTGTGGCACTCGTGTGCCTGGGGTTTGGCCTCTCGCGGGCCCATCCTTCATCGTAAGGCTGCCTTGGGACGGTTCGTCGAAACCGTTGATGGGCCAGCCCTCAAACTCCTGGGCCCAGCCGGGCCTGGAGGAACGCTTTTTGACCTATATCTTGTTGCTGGTAAAGAGTCCTGGTCTACCCAGGGAGGTGAAACGTCCAGCGCGTCTTCGAAGGAAAAGGATAGGGATTGCAGGCGCATATCCCGCGTGGTGACGTGGTGGTGAATCGTTGTAGGCACGGAGATCCAGGCAGACGGTTGCCTTCCTCGCATCCGTCGCCCCTATAAAACCAAAGGGTTTGCCCCTAGGGTTTCGTACATCGCCTCCTTGCCTTTGCATCTACAACCTCCACCGCCAATCGCCTAAGCCTCTCACATCCGCATCTCAGCCGTCGCCAAGTTCGCATCCATCCACCCCAATCGTTTAATGGAGTTGTGGTGTAGATCCGATGTCACCCTCTATGCCTGGAGGGCCTCGTTCGCCGTGGCCTTCTTTGCGCGCGGACCACCATCGAGGAGTGGCGGCTGCCCAGCAATGAGGACACGCTATCGCCGCCCGAAGGCTACGTTGTGTCCTTCGCTCACTTCCACGAGCGGGGATTCGCCACCCCCGCCCACAAGTTCCTTCGGGGGTTGCTGCATTACGACAAGGTGGAGCTGCAACACCTTACTCCCAATGGGATCCAGCACATTGTGGCATTCGTCGCTCTATGTGAGGGGTTCTTGGGGATTAGTCCCCACTTCGACCTGTGGCGGTATTTCTTCGCTGTCACCCTCCTGAAGAAGTGGGAGAAGAGGCAAGAGCTGAATGCGCCGATGGGATGCGCCGGCATTCAGCTCCGCAACAACCGGGTCAACGAGTACCCGCCGATGCGTCTGTCAACCTCCAACAAGGGGTGGCATTCATATTGGTTCGACGTCAGGAATGACACAGCTGCTCCCTTGCTAGAGTTTACCAGGCGCCTCATCGAAGAGGTCTCGAACTCATGGAGGAAGTGGGGGGTGCCAGAGAAAGATAAGAGGAGGATCCAGGACCACCTCGCCGCCATCCGCATCCTGAAGGAGTGGGGTGTGAAGGGGTCGGGGATCATTGGCACCTACCACATGCGGAGAGTGGCACCGCTGATGAGGCGCGCGCTTCCCCTGCACATGATGGCGCCCGGGGTGGCGCTTGATGGGACGACGCTCATCGAGGGAGCGCTCTCCCCCTCCAAAGTGGCGCAGCGCATCAAGGAGGCGATGGAGCCTTCGTGGGACGACGCCGGTGCTGTTCTTGATTTTGTGTATCCGGTGCCGGGGCATCCCCCAATGTGGCCGGAACTGGGGTACATTGACTTCGTAAGTTCTCTTTCCCCATGCCTCCTTTTTAATTGAACTCCCAACCCCTTGATGCTGATATTGAGATAGGGGGACCAGCCAAAGAGACTGTCTTTATGGATCGCTCGGCTGATGAGGACATCACCTGCTCGGATATAACCACATTGGCAACTTTTGATTCATAGGACGGGTTCATATCATCGGCCCCACTGCCGAAGGACCCGTTCGTGGCGACGGTGAATCGCACCGCGGCCGAGTTGTAGAAGAAGGACAAGGAGGATGAGAGGAGGAAGAAGTAGCATAAGTTGTGGGCACGGGAGCGAGGAAAGGAGATAGATAGTGATGACGACAACGATGACAACGATGAGGATGACGAGGTAGTTGCCGACACTGAGTGGGATGACCTGGCGAGTGAGGATACGCTGATAGGTATATACTCATCCGTGCAGGGGCCTTTCTCGTTCCATGCAGGGGGAAGCACGCCCGCGGGGCCGGCGGAGATGGACCGAACCATTGGCCTGCCCCAGGAGACCGTAGGAGTGGGCATGTCTACCACCGTGCTCGAGGTGCCAGCACAGGGGGGTGGAACCGTCGCCGTGCCTCAAGAGCTATCAGGCGTGGGCAGATCTATCGCCGCACTCGAGGTGTCGATGGAGGGGGTGGCTCCGCTGCCGTGCCCCTAGACGCAAGGGAGGTGGGTCCCTCTGCCCAGGAGCAGGAGGCGGGCTCAAAATGGTACCGCCCCAACAAGGCAGAGTAGGGGCCTGAGGGTTCATCCCCCAAACGTCTCCACTGCCCAACAACGCCAACGTAAGTCACCAGCTTCTCTGCTTTCTCTATTTTTGTCTGTTTTCATCGTGAATCACGCCTTTTGTTTCTTCTGCAGCGTCGGGAGATGGGTCAGATGGGGCACTTCTTTAGCGCTGGCGCCCAAGAAGAGCATCGCCCTTCAGGCAAGGCGGGGGCCATCGCCTGACGTCGCTCCCGTTTTGGGCGAGAGCGGAGCCGGTGTTGCAGCCTCGTCGGTCGGTCAGGCGTCGCCCACGATAGTGCCCGTGCCCTCAGTGGGTCAAGCGGTCGGTGAGGCTGAGGGGGCACCCTCGGAGGTTGCCGAGCAACCAGCGATGGAAGCAATTCCGCTACCGATGTCGAGCAGGCGGAGCTGCCGGCCGCACCCGTTGCGTCGACCACGACGGGCGTGGCGCAGCCAGACAAGGTTCCACTAACGGAGGCAGAGGTGACAGGGGTTATGACAGATGGGTTGTAGCTAG